CTCTTCTGCCGGCCGATCCACCAGTTTTATCTTTCATTCCATACATTGGAAGGTACCTCACGGCGTTCTTCTACGGCATTCGTTCTCATTCGCCTTTCTCGCGCCCTGGAATTTACACTTCGCGATACCTCATTACATTGCTCTTTCCCGGCCTCCTGCCGTCTCCAGTCCACACCCACTTATTTGGAAAGACGAAACTATCTAACAGCTCATCGCAGTCCCTTTCTGTAACTCTCAAAACTCTTCGGGCGGTGTTACTTGCAGGTCTTGACGTCATTACTCCTGGTCTCCCTGCGCCAAACGGCCAGTCAAGTGGAACGATTCCTTACCAGTACTTTTCGACATATGCATCATCTTATAGAACGCATGATGCAGAATTTGGAATTGCTTCTGTTTGGAATCATGGGAAGTCCGTTGTGCGTGTTGCACCGATTCCTGAAAACGCACAATCGAGCCCTGAATATGACGGGGCGAAAACTGCTGTCTATTTTGAAGACGGAAGCTTTGAAACCGGAGACTTGGTTGTGGATTTGCGGGAGGATTTAGTTGCACCACAATCTAACAATGGTTTGCTTTGGATTTCTGGTACTTGTGAATTTTTTAGTTGATTTAGAATTAACTGTCTGAAAGGTCTGTATCCGATTGACCCCGAAAAGGCAACCTCATCGATGATCCCTGCAAAAATTTTGGCCAATGCTGGCATTATACGGTCAAATGCTCAAGCTGTAATGTACACTGCTCCAAAGCATATTGTCCCAGCAACGGGTGTGAACCAAGAAGTGCCACAAATTCCGACCCCTCCTGGTAGCACTGTTGGGTCTTCATATACTCTTCCATCTAGAACACCAAGCAGACGTATTTCCTACGCGATTGCACCGGCGATTGGTCCTCGCACTTCGTCTCGTGGAATGGGAAATCCAGTTGATGGAATTTCTTTGGGGACGACGTCTCAGCAACCTATTCCGTCTCCTCTGTCACAAGACGCCGTGGCATACGCCACGCCAGGTCCGCGGAAGCCACTTCGTCGTCCCAGTACGCGACGAGGATCTCACGAATCGCTTCTTGCTCTGGTCCCAGTTGTCGGTTCGCCGGCGAAAGGGCCTCAGCATAGTATGGAAGAAGCCGAGGGAACAAAAGCTTGGGGTGGAGTTGCGAAGAAAAGCAGTCGGGACAGTATTACCGCTGTTGCAACAAACGGAAACAGTGGCGGTGGCAGTCCGACCTACAAGCCTCTCAATCGTTTTCGTCGACGAGCGCCATCGTTCATGAGTACGCGCAGTCGAGCAGGATCGCTTCGGCGGTTCGGATCGATTGCAGGATCTGTGCGCTCTACAGGATCACGGCAGACAATGGCATTGAATGCCACACAAGACCTTGTGGCCTTGGAACGTCCCACACATGTGCATTGGCGCCTGTGCTTTCCCGACAAGTTGCTTGCGACCCACACGACGGCAATGTTTCTCACGCGCGGCATCCCAGCCAAAGGAAAAGGCAACCCTTCGAATTCCTTGCGTGAACGTGTGGTTACAGCTGCTAGCTCGCGAGTTGTTGAGACGATTGCACGTGAAATTGTGGGTAGTTGGCACGATGGCCTACGAAGGTGTGTCGCAGGTAGTGTTGGAGTTGCAATTGGGGTTGATGCATTTGGTGGATTCGGTAATCGCGGAGTTGGAAATTTAAATATCTCGAAGGAGGTTGAAAACTTGTTCGTTGAGTTCAAGGCCGGACCAACGAGGTAATTATATTTTTCCAGCAAAATCGTTTGGCGCTCACAGTTTTTTAAGCCTGAAACCCTTCGATTCGCCGCATGATATCAACATAGCTTTGCTAATTTCGCGGGTCCGTGACCTGTCGCTCACACTGGAGAAGGCATGCGCAGTCGCAGAGCTTGGCTTAGCGCCACAGATCCAGAGCGAAGAGCGATTGCAATACCTTTTAGGGCTGTATCGCACACAGTCATCGCAAATTGAGCAGCGGGCAGCGCTGATTGCATCAGCGGGAGTGCAAGCGGACCTTGCGTCAAGCGAATGGTTTGGGCTTATGGGTGGGATCTTGACAGGGATGGTGAGGGCGCTGTACGCGTCTGTGGCGTGGATTTTTGTGTGAGATGGCGCTCGTTGCTGCGGTTTCTTTTAGGCCTGGATGCGCGTGCAGCAAATGATAGTTTTTGTCTTCGGTTCACTTAGCGTGCTCCCGCAACAGCTTAGATGATTGTCTCTTGCTCTTGGGTACAATGTGTTTCTGTCGCCAGTTCTCCGTCGACCTCGGCTCATGATCGAAAGTCAACCGCCTTTCGTGACTCCATGAGGCCTCAACCTCCGTACAAACGGTCGGTACTGGTCTTGCTCCGCCAAACAGTGACTGCAGCCACCTCAATTCACTTCAATGAGCCCTGGAAGCGTCAAAGTTCTCGCAAAATCGACCCCTTCATTTCGTCTTCAGTTTTGTCCGCGTTAGGCGCGAACTTTCGAATGCCTGGGATGGATACATGCAGTTAGGAGCTGACTTGAAGGAGAATCCCGGTTGCAAATGTGGCTGTCTGATCTTGACTCTCTGAGGCTGGGGTTTCGAGAACACAAGGGATTGGCTAAGGAGACCGATTTAATGCAAATGTAAGGCCCTTGCAATAACATTCGTTTGCAGACGCGTTACAGTAGAATTCTTTCGAAAAAAATTTTATGGATTCAAAGGTATTGGAACAATGCACTTAAGGTTCAATACTCCATGCACCATCAGATAAAACCGATCCATGGTCATCATTCTTAGTCATCTGGATCGTCTAACAGGTGAGTTCATTGAACATGAATGCAATTCGAGTATCAAGCAGAAAGCTTGTTATGAATATCTCGTAAGCAACATTTGCTTACAAACAAAACTGAACCGTTTTCCTAACAAAACTGGTATTATCTTCACAGCGGCAAACTGCTGAAGCATAACAAACTGAGCAATCTAGATACTTTGTTAAAAAATATGAGGAAAAATCTGAAAAATTTCATTACCTTATCTGTCACTTTTGGCGGAACTCTTGCTGTAACTGGGGCAAAAGGGAAATGAGCCCCAATAGATTAACTAGCCAGCCTTAGGTTCTTTCAGGTTGAAGATGGATGAACTTTATCTCTGCACATGTCACGAAGTACTCCGAGATTATCTTTTGGGACGTATCACAAGACTTCAAGCTTGTCCTAGATATTATAGTAAGACCTTGGAAGATGTTTGAAAGTTTTACAGAGCGATGAGCTGATGCTGCAAATTAGCCGTTATCAAAACCATCCCACAGGACGATTTCGAGGTCCATACGGATCCTATGAGCAATGGGATACAATCTTATCCGGCAGTTACACCGGGCTGAGGAAGTGCTCGGTGAGGGAAAAAATCAGGTTGAAGGCAATACCGATACATTTTCTTGTTCCGTTTTTCCTTCTCGGTGCCCAGCCAGCCGAGATATCCGTGAAATCCGATGCGTGTTTCGCTTTCAAGGATAAAACGCTCCTGCGCGTCGACCATTGTTGCGGCGCTGGCAATGACTGTTGTCATGCTGGTGGTGGCGTTTGCGTTTCTTCGGTTGGGGCCAAGTGGAGCCGACGCCGTACGGCCATCTGCGAGTCTGGGATCGTCCAGCAGCGGTTGCTCCGAGTTTGAAGAACATTTTGCAAAGGCCGGAACTGCTCGTATTCTCAGCGGAGGAAGGAGCCCTGAGCCGGACGCCAATGCTTTCCCGATCCCAAACGTTTTTCACTTTATCTATTACGGTTCCTTTAGTCGCCCGAGTTATCTGTGTTCGATAGAATCTGCAGCGCGACAAAACCCCACATACACTATTTTGATTCACGCCTTGAATTTCGAAGAATTTGAGAATCTGACATCCGCGTGGTGGCATCGACTTGAGCCGTCGATTTCCAAAAACATCAAACTGACAAGATTGACGTGGGAAGATGCATTTCAGGATACACCTCTACTCAACTGGTTCCAAAGTAATGTGTATGCGTCAGGAAAGTATCCCGAACAGGAGCTTGGCGATGCTGCAAGACTGGCATTGATCTGGCACCATGGTGGAATCTATGCAGACCTAGATATTATAAGCGTTAGTCCCATTTCAAGGATAGGGCGATGTATTGCGCAGGACGATGCAGTTATGTTGAACAATGCATTGCTTTCCTTCCCCCAACACGATCCGTTTATCCTGCTCCTGATGCATGTGTTTGTGCGCGATTTTCAAGGACATAGTTGGTTAGTCTTCACATAATGATCTGCACTGAGTGACTCGAAATGTACCCAGGGCCTTCAACGGTCCATGGCTTGTAACGAAAGTATACAACAGCCTTTGCCGACTTTCCTTCGACACCAACGAAAAAACAGACATTGTCACAGACCTCCATCCAGACATCGTGAAACAAGCGGACGCATCCTGCGCTAGCCTTGTTGCAGCGATTCCGTCCCGGTTCCACCCAATTAACTGGCGGGATCGCGAAGTGCTGTACAAACCATGGAATGCTAGCTGTGAAGTGTTACACGACATAACACGAACATCTATTGCGGTGCATGTATGGAGGCGGCTTCCAGTGGGCCTGAAAACTCCAAACGACAGTTTATTCGTCAAAATTCTTGAAAACGCGTGTCCAAATGTTCTGCTTTCCTTTACGCCTGCAGAAATCGGCATTATTTCTGGCACAACTATCCAAAAGACTGTTGGCGCCTTTCATTATCTAGGATGCTTCAAAACATCGCCTGAGCGCCAGATTTTGAGGACAGAATTGACCAGCGAAATCGATGGGAAAATGACTTTGGAAAAGTGCGCAAGACTCGCAAGCGAGTATTCATTTCTGTTATTCGGTGTCGAGCGAAGCAAGAAATGTTTTGCTGGTTTTGAGTTTTCAAGCTACACTACGGAGACTGATGGTTGCTCAATGCATTGCCTGGGAAATGAACAGGAATACTGTGGAGGATCTGAAGCAATGTCTGTGTATAAACATAACAAAAGGTTTGAGTAAAATTATACAAATGGGCCCAACGGGGAATTGAACCCCGGACCTCTCGCACCCAAAGCGAGAATCATACTACTAGACCATTGGGCCGGTGATACTTAAAAGGGAATTGGGCAGTTCACTATTTGGGATGTTCAGCGGGATGGTGTTGGAAAAGGAGGCCAAACGACGGAGTTGGACTTGGGACTTCCAGAGACAGACTTTATTTAATAAAAGGACTAAAAAAAAGAATAAAAGAAATGATTTTTGGGAGCTTTTTCTCTGCGACGAACTTATACACATTTTTAGTTTTTCGTGGGAAAGATACAGATGACCCCAAAGTGATACTGTAACAATATTTTGTCACCGGATGACTTTGACAAATCTTATGATTTCACATTTTTTATTTTTCAACATTTTCTCAACATTTATTTTTCTTTTATTTTCTTTTTTCTTTCTATTTTCTTGTTCTTTGAAATTCACTTTTATTTCTGGAAAATTCCAACAACCAGAGTATAAAATGGCCCAATGTTTGAAGGATTAAGAGAAGAAGCAGAAGAATAAAATCCAATATCTCCCGCAACCTTTCCATAACATATTTTGCTACAGGATTGCCTCACTCATAGTGAATGCATACTCTATCCAACTCATTACTAATTGAAAGGATTTGATTTTGTCTGCTTGCAGAATGTTACAAGCAATGCATCATCAGAGCCTTGAATTTGAAATCTTATTCTCTAACCTTCCTTTTATTTGTCTTTGTTCCTTCTCCAAAAGTATTTAAGCTGGACTATGGAGCAAAATAAAGGTTAGCTTACGACAGATTTATTATTGCCTTTTCCTCCAAGGCCTTTTTTTTTATGACTTGTCCAAGTTGTCCTTACATGACTGCTCTGCCACATCATATCTGTATCATATTTGGAACAGAACTGGGCAGTTTCATTATGTTTGATGTTCAGTGGGATAATTCAGGTTTTGGGAGGCATGGCGTATCAGTTGTATGGGTTGGGATGCAGGGACGCTGACTTTATTTCAATAAAACAACCATTTTAAAAATAAAAGAAGGATAACACAAATTTATAGTTGGGTTTTTGGAGCTTAACCCTTCTTAAGCTATGACCCAATGTCATACTGTAACACTTGCCTCCAGGAGCATACATGCCAACATCAGTAAGGATGTTGGTTCCTGATCTGTTTTGTTCTGGCAAAGTAATTCAGGTGTTGCATCAATCCAGCAGTTATAGACTGGACTGTGGTCAGACCATTTGATGAGTGATTGAGTTTTTCCACTTATTTTCCACACAGCGAGCACTTTTTCAATCATGCATGTTTTGATTTTGGTGGCGGTCAAAGGGTGTTGTTGTATGTGATCCCAATAAAAGTTTTGCAATTTCTCAGGATGAGAAACAGGGTGTACACCCCATTCTTGCAGCAGATCTAAATGGCACAAGGGGACTGATCCAACTAGTTCAATCACACATTAAGGCCCTGAGTATTGCTCAGATAGTTTGCTGATTGGTCTTCCTCTTGGATTCGGTGGTTTGAAATTCCATGTTGATATAAGGACAAGATAGCCAACCTTGAAAGGGGTCTCAAGTTGGCTTTGGTTTATGGCAATGACATATCAATCCTGTGCATCACGTATCCAATCCTTTGCAACCTGGTAAGTTGCTCTTAGATCTCTTAATTTGGTTTTTTTTTTTCTGTGTCAATTTCCATATGAAATCTAAACAGAAAAAAATAGAGTTGTTTGAAACTGCTGTCTGCTACATTTCCCTTCAAGATTCAATAAAGGGATTTAAATGCAGCAGACCCACTCAAGAAAAAATTTCAGAGAAAGCTGGCAGCTAACAACTCCCAGCAGTTCCACTAAATAAAAAGGCAGGGAAACATTCCACAATGTAAAAACCCTTCCTCACATTAAAACTGAAGTAAGAAATAAAAAGAAT